CAGCAGGAAGCTGGCGGACTGAGAGCAGGTGTCTACCACCTTCTGGGATTGGTCTGATTAACGCTGATCAAGTTTGCGTTTTCCTAAAAGGAACATTAGGGGAAAAGTAGATAAACTCCTTGCGTTTTACAGAATGACCTTTGTTTTACTTTGGGGTGGGGGTGGGAGGTGGGAAGGACTCTACTTAAAATTCTTCTTGACTCTTCTGGAAACAGACTCAAGACCTTTCAAATGTACATTCAGAATTATTGTGAGTTCCCTCACAAAACTGGTGAGTTGGAAGGAACCTCTGGGCTTTCTCATACAGCTTCCTCCCCACCCAATGCCAGAATTCCATCTGCACGCTCCTCAAACAAATGGTCCTTCTGCTTCAAAGGATGGTTTCACAGTGGTCTGTTGTATTTGAAGATGAAAGGCCTGTTACTATCCTGCTCACTGTGGGTTTTGAATGGTCCAAAGTGGCCACTTTCTCAAGGGGAGGAAGTGATCACTTACCTCCCTCCCATTCCCTACCTATGTCCTCAAGGCGGCACAAGCAGAAGGATAGGCTGACCAATTTTTGCCTTTCTTCGCAAGTCTAGTCAAAAGAAATGATGATGTGACCTTGTCAGGAAGTTCTAGGCCGCTCATTCCAAATCATGTCTAAATGATGTTGGCATAATATGATTTGGATTCATTTTTAATGGCCAAGTAATTAATCTCTGAAAGATGCTTATGATGAAAAGGTGAAAAATTACAACAGGACTCTTTTAATAGCTTCAGTCTGCAGAACTCATTTGACCCTGGATGATCCAAGTCATTCCAAACTGGGCCGGGCTTCCCATACCATTTAGCAGAACTGCTTTATCTACTAGTTGACTGCCCTGGACAGAAGGCAGTGAGTCCAGGGGTTGAGTACTCATGTGTGTGGTGACAATAACCTACATATAAGGCACCTGTACAGACTCCAAAGTTTTCAAATTTTTAAGACGAGGTAGGTTTCTGAAACCTCCCCTGGCACGCCAAAGAATGTTGTATTATGATCTTCTTATTTCTTCTGCAGAAAACATTTATGATGCTCATTTGATACAAACAACCTAATTTCATAAAGACCAGTACTCAAATACAGTTTTTTCAGCTACCATTTTAAACCTCAATGAATTTAGATGGTCTTCAATACAATCCTTCAACACTTCTCCACTTAAATATGTCATTTGCTTCTGTTTTAGTGACGATTTAACAATTCTGCTGCAATTAGTCTCTTTACCTATAAAAAGGCCAACTCCATGTCCACTTGTTTCTCTGAATAACACTTATTCAGTTCTGCTTAAGTTTGCCAAAGGTCTTGTTTATTTTATTGGTTATTTACCTGAACAATGTATTTCAATCCCAATACTCTCCCATCTCCCACCATAATCTGTAGCTTGGGACAAAATGGATACCTAGCAGGAATATTTTACTCTTCATATTTTCCAAGACTATGACACTATGAGAGAAGCATTGCTGATGGATTGACAAGGAGACCACCAGGTCACTAAAGAATTACATACTCTGGACACGGGAAACTAGAAAATCCCACCGATTAAAGGGTATTTTAATCTTGCGGAAAATGTTTCTTTGCAACAACAGCAGAATCTCTTGACACAAGTTAGTGAAGCAAAAGAACAATCGTCTTTAAAGTCAAAACATCTATCAAATTATAAACCATACACATAGCACCAATATTAACCTTATACTGCATAAGATGCACGTGCCCACAGAGGAGAACAGAATTGTTTGGGATGCTTGCAGTGATGTTCCATTCCAGGAACTCATAATTTTGAAGTGAACATTTTTGTGGCAGATGCTTTTCCTAAAAAACACTGTATCATCCAATAAATATTTGACTAACATCCATTTTGTGCTTTTGGGTGATGTTAACTGACTTCTTTCTGAGACCTAATAGGAAATAAGAAAGCTCCTTAGATGTTTTAGAGCAGAATTTGTCACAGCAAGCTTCGATACTGTTGTAAAATTTTAATTTAAAGCAGAAAACATGCTGATGTGTCAGTGATAGGCTTAAAATATTAAAGACTTCAAAAACACCCAAGCACTTCTTCTCTGTACAACATTGATGAATATATATCTTTGCTATATAATTTTAAAACATGGAATAGTTTTCCTTTTCTCTTTGCTATATATAATATATGTCTTCCAAAATACATCGTCAGTATTTATATCTGAAAAATACTGTACAAAAAGAACTTCCTATAATTACTCTGTATAAACATTAAACAATTTAATAATCTCTCCTTTTGGTCTACAGTAAACATTTAAATTGATTGGATTAACCACAGTTTGTGACAACACCATCCCCTTCTGAGATACACCAGTGTCTTTTACATTCATTTTTCAGAAGTCCACTTTATAAGAGCACATACGTTCAAAAGCAAACAGAGAATAAGAAACATAAGCTCCAAAATCATTAATTTATGAAGCATTCAAAAATGACACCACTAGGAAAAAGGGTTTTACAAAACATCAACTTATTAACTTAACTGACTGATTTTTAAAAACGACAAGGTATGATTCACAAAAACATATATATTACAAAAAAAATGGGGAAAACTGAATCTTAATTGAATTGTATTGAATATCAAGAGGGATGTGGAAAAAGTTAACTAGAAAACTGGGGGCTAAGGGTATGGGAAAGAGGAGAAAACAAAAGCAAACACATCAATGTCAAAAACTGTTCCAAGATGCATTTTTTGGCTGTATACTGATAAGTTAACCCCTCGTTCTTAGACCTGGCATTTCCCTCTGCTTCTCTGTCCTGGGGATGTTCTGGGCATGCTCAAATGCATTACTGTAATTTCTGTTTTTTAAAAGACAGTGAAATTCTTAGGTAGGGAAAATATCCTGCGTCCACTAGTAATACTCAGGCAGCATGCTCTAGCGTACAATAGGATTATTGCTTTAGGTACAGACAGTGCAAAAACACACTCTGTTCTATAATAGTACTCTTACTTGCCGGGGTTGGTAGAGTTAAAAGGAAACTTAGTAGACGGCAGTAAGTAAATACGGGATCTAATAAATCTAAACAGCACTTTAAATTTGAAGACGATTATCACCAAAACTGAAGGTAGGAGGGAAGCAACCTGTAACTGAACGGAGCTGCAGTGTAGTGCTCAATTATTCTGTGCACCTTATTAGCATGGTAACGTACAGATTAAACAGAAACAAGAGCCTGTGGTCTTGAAAACCAAGATCTACTATTTCACCAGGGCCCTTCTTAGTGAACCCAACCAGAGGGTCCTGGAAGAGTAGGTAAGTGCCAACATGAAGCCACGCGGAAAGGGCAGGAGTGGAGGAGGAAGGGGGTCAGGAAGCCCACGAGAGGTCTCCTCAGTCCAGTAAAAACATGGCACCTTTCATTTTGGAACTAAAAGACGATGGAGGGCTATCAAAATGGCAAGTGCAAAGGGGCGCGCGGGCGCGCGCGCGCACACACACACACACACACACACACACACACCCGTTGACCACACATGAGCACGAGCACATACACACACCCACGCCAAAATGTGAGTCCGTCCTGTTGATGCATCTGGTAAAGTGCTGATGTCAGAAAGGTCGGTAGGTGCGGTGCAATCAACCAGGAGACCCCTGTCCGGGGCCTGAGGCCGCCCGCGGACGCCGGCCTACAGGGGCCCGTGCCGGGCCTCGTACTTGGCCAGGATGTTCTTGCACTTGCCCAGCTCCTTGCGCAGGTCGGCCACCTCCTGGCGCAGCGCCGAGTTCTCCTTCTCCAGGAAGGACGCGCGGATGGCGATCTGGTTCTCCTTGAGGCGCCGCGCATCACGCGAGCGCTTGGCCGCCATGTTGTTCTTCCGGCGCCGCGCCCAGTACTTGTCGTCCTGCTCGGGGCGGGGGAAACACACACCGACGCGGTTAGACCTCGGCCCGCGTCCCGCATCCCCACCGGGCTTCCCGCCCCCGGCTCCGGCTCTGCGAGCCGAGGGCACCCGCCCTTCGCTGGGCCGCCCCTCCCGCCCAACAGAGCGCACGTCCCCAAGCAAAGCCGAGCCTCCCACACTCCCTGAAGGACAAGCCTAACTCCTTCCCTCTTTGCTGGAAATGTTAAACCCTTTTCTTCCCTGGGAGCGTGCTTTCCTGAATAAGTTGACACAGTATTGTTGAAAGGCTACCTGGCAGTATCTGCACCGTGCCTCTGGGCTCGCACCCTAGCGCAGTCCTCACGCACACACGGGCACAAAATTTTTACTGCAGCATTTTTGTAATAGAAAATAATGGGCAAACCCCCCAATTATCAGGAGCTTTAATAACTACATCATGATAGATTCACACAACTGTTAAAAATAATGATCCAGCTGAACCAGAAAGATGCTAGCGACATATCACTATGTGGGTAGAAACGGTGGCAATTTGCAGATCAATAGGTTCCTCATCCCACTTTGGTTTAAAAATTATAATAGTATATATTCATAGAAAGAGGCCCAGAAGATTTATACACGGCTATTAAAAGTGGTGGCTTTGGAAAGGGGATTGAAGGAGGGAGCCAGGAGACAGGTAGGATCTTCCACCTTTTATTTTATATCCTTCTGAACTACTAGAATATTCTATAATGGGCATGTATACTTTGGCAATTAAAAACAAATAAAGTTCCACCTGCCACTGATCAATATACTCATATTGGTGGCTAAGATTTAAATAATTTACTCGAATTTCCTGTTTAACTGTTTTCTAGGCTGTCAGCCTAAGTGATGTTTAACTGTGGTCAACATGAAAGCAATCCCTCCTTTCCCCCCCATCACTGCCAAAAAAGGGAAAACCTTCCTAGGAGGACTAAGAAATGTAAGTCTTCTTCCATTTATGGTGCCACCTGGTGGGTTTTGCAACCCTCTTTTTTCAACAACTTGCAACAGTAAATTCCTCAATCCTAGCAAAGCTAATACCTGCAGTTATCTGCCACCCAGAATGAGTGAGCCAGTTCTTCCCCTCCCCCAGGATTCCAAGAGGCATTTGGCACTGGAGGAGGTCACATGGTTTGAGGCCAAGACTGCGAGCAAAGTCCAAGGTCAGTGGTCTGCGCCATCCCTGCCATTTACCCTGAGCCAACACTTGCCCAGCACAAAGACAGGAAGTGTGAGACAGAAAGCATATACAGGCACCTTCTATCTGCCCTTCACAAGCTAGTACTGTTCTCTTATTTATAAACCACTCCCAGCTTGCTATACATTTCATAATAATGTGTAACAAAGTGAAAAAGGTGATCTTCATAATAGCTAGTGCCAGAATTCTTCTTAGAGAGGAGGTTGTCCTTTGGAAAATACCTGGATAATTAAGCTTGGGGCAGGATTTGTTGCTTTCCTTCAGAAAGGGTGCAGAGGCGGGAGGAAGGGGTGAGAGACTAGGGCGCTGGCCCAGAGAAGCTGGGAGGAGCTAAGAGAGCACAAGACTCCACAGGGATGAGACAGCCTAAGGCACATTAACAACAGTGAAAGCTCCAGCTCTGATGGAAGTTGTCTGCGTTACTTTGTAAGCCCCAATTCCACCCCCTTGGTCAATCAGTGAATCTACCATACTCATCAGTGTCCCCAGGAGTGTAGTTTCCAAGATGATTGGAAAGAGGGGTTGGCTTAGGATGTATCAGAACCTGCACACAGGGGCCGGGGAGAGAAGGGTTACATGAGAACGAGGAGAAGCTGTGTGCGGCACGCAGGAGGATGGGGAAGCGGTACCACCATAGGCCGTGGACTTGGTGGTCTGTGACCAGGTCTTAAGGACCAGGGGAGTCACCAGCTGACCTCAGTGTAGCAACCAGTTTCTGAGCTCTTCTCACTTCTAAGGTGCTTTCATTTCCCAGCCTCACCTGTCCACATGGGCAGATGAGCTGGGCAAGGTGTGGAATGGGGACCATCTCAGGTGGGAGGGGAGCTGGGAATAGGACTGGAGCAGAGGCTGCAGAAGGCAGGCATGATAGGAGGACTATCCCAGACAAGGAAAACCAGCTTTCCCACCTTTGTCAGCACAGAAATGGGGGGCAGGGAGAGCGGGATATTGAGTGGGGCTGATACATCGCCTATACCCTTTCCCTCTATCTCCCAGGGGCAGATGCCATCTGGCTACGCAGGTACCCCTACCTGGCAAAGAACTCCTCAGTCCAGTCCCATCTTCTTGAGGGTCTGGTGTTTGATGACACCTCTGCCCAGCAGGTCCCCCCTGACATGTCCACACTCCCTTTTTCTCACTTGGGGGCAGGAACAATGTCAGTAGTGGTTCACCTTGGAATCCCCAGGCCCTGACATCAGACCTGGCAGACACTAGCATTTGAAAAATATTTATCAAGTGAATGAATGGCGATTAAACTGATTCTCAGCTAGGAATCAGTATGCCACCCCTTCATCCTCCTGGGGCTGCCCGCTAACCCAAATGAATGGCTCCAGAGAGAGAGTGCAGGCAGTGGCAGGGAGGGCCACTTCACTCACTCGGTCTGCTCATCCAGGGCTGGAGGTCACTTGCCCCACCCAGCTCAGTCCTCCTGCCACACGAGAAACATCTTACATCTCTGCTTCTTGCTTCACCATTGCTCATGCTCTGGGGCCTGAGACTTTACTCACAACTGAAGGAATCCAGGGACACCTGGCAGGACAGTGTTCCTGCCTGCTCCCCTCACTGGCACGTGAGAAGGCCAGGCCCAGCCACGGTGGCAGTAACATGCATAATTCCAGCACAGACGTTTTTCACGTGGCCTCTTTGTTGCTGAGGTTACCAGGGTAATTAAGTAAGCTTGCTCTTTGCTTTAAATTTGTAAATTTGGAGACCATGTGCAGGTCTGGCTGGAAGTTGTATCTACTACTCAGCAGCATCCCTTCAAACTTGCCTCCATTCAAGAGGAAATCCCTACTGAATGGGCTCCCCAGTTTAAGAGGCAAGTTCCAAAATGCACACAGAATTGTTTGGCTAAGAACACAAGATGAGGAAAAGCATGAGCTGAAAGAAGATGCCTAATCACCCAGGACCTAATCCCATGGGGCCCCTTTCTTACCCCATCTTAGTCTAACCATCGATTCCCTAACTAGCTTCAATTTTCTGGTGTTTTTACTATGCACTTTCCTCTTTTGATTCTCAGGGTGACAGCTATTGGTTTGTCACCCAAAGGCTCCCGATGTAGCTCCTGTCAGGGCCAACGTGCTTCAATGACCTTTCTGGAAGCTAGCCGACTTGGGGACGAAGCTGGGCCTTACACTAACTAGCAGTGCTCACCTCTACCTTTCTGTGTCTCCATTTCCTCAGTGGTAAAATGATCACTTTGGTCTAATGAATCTCTGAGGTCCCTTTTAAAACCCGACATTTTATTTTTTAATAAATTTATTTATTTATTTTTGGCTACATTGTGTCTTTGTTGCTGCGCCCGGGCTTTCTCTAGTTGCAGCGAGCGGGGGCTACTACTCTTCGTTGTGGTGAGAGGGCTTCTCCTTGTGGTGGCTTCTCTTGTTGTGGAGCATGGGCTCTAGACATGTGGGCTTCAGTAGTTGTGGCACACGGGCTCCAGAGTGCAGGCTCAGTAGTTGTGGTGCACAGGCACAGTTGCTCTGCGGCATGTAGGATCTTCCCGGACCAGGGCTTGAACCCGTGTCCTCTGCATTGGCTGGTGGATTCTTAACCACTGCACCACCAGGGAAGTCCCAAAACCTGGACATCTTATGATTCTGCATCACTGAAGGTAATCTGAGGTATTGGATGACAGCAGTGACTTAAATCTGCCGGGTACATTTTCCTCCAGTGCTCTTTGTATATGTGAAAAGCAGAAGTAAATGGTCTATATCAGTTCCAGGACAATGTCCCAAACTCCCATTTTCCCAACAGGAGTGTCTCTTCATGTGAACCATATTTAGGTTTGAGAAATGGTGGTCAGCAGGTAGAAAATTATGTCTGCTTCCAATGCCTTGAATGTATATAATCATATCTCTATTGTCCATATGATTGGAAAGCAGCATAAACACAAAAAATTCTAAGCAATGGGTAATCAAAAATGGTTCTATTTTGGTATTAGTAGGCGTGGCGTAAGTTTAGAAAGAATTCTCTTCCTGAGGTATCATTAAATGTGTCAGATTAATTTTAAGTTGTATCTGATTTCCTAAGGTAAGGCTATTTTCCTTTATAAATAATGTGTGCCTTCAACACAGTAGAGAAAAACCAACCCCAAATTAACCTTTTGTTGAGATACTCAAGTGACCTTTACTTGAGACACAGAGTGAATATTACTTATAAATAGTGTCAGGAAACCCACCAGCTTCCTTAAAAGTCCCACCCTAGCATCCAAGGCTGGCAATGTGGAGAGAGGTCCTGTCTCTGGCTGTTACTCCCTGAGGCCTACAGAGAAATGGAAGCAGTTAATTAGTGCTAAATTCCCAAAGGAAAGGTAACCCTTGGAGACTATGAGGTCCAGATGCCCTTCCCAAATAATTTTTTTTTCTCTTTCCAACCTCGAAAGATCCTGGTTTGATTTTATTAGGCTTTCATAGGTTTCCTTGCAGATAGTAGTGGGTTTGCTTCCTTCATGGGCTGCAAAACACTCCATTTTATTGCTTTTCCTTATATCTGCATTATCAAGATATGAAAGGCGTAGTTCAGAAGACACCCAGAGAGGAAGCAACTTGCCTCGTCACGTGCCAAGAAATGGGATCAGAAATCACAAGTCTTTGTTCACTAGCTTGTGTGATTTTCCTGGGGTCACCCTTTTAATCTGCCTCTTGATCCCACTCTCCACTTGCCCACAGCCTAATTACCAGTTCCAATTTACCTTCAGATCATCTGGGATGAAGACTTTGCGAGCTTTCTTAATCATGGGCTGTGGCTTCAGTTCTTCCTCAGAGAACTTGCGTTTGCGAGGGTCAAACATTTCCTGCCCGGGGATGCTGGAGAGGGCAAGGTCGGCCGGGTCTGGCTCATAGCCCACCGGGACCTGGATGGTGTCAGGGTCAATGGGGCTCGGAGTATTGCGGTTGGCTGGCAACAGCTGGCCTGGAACAACACAGGAGTTTTAATTCATGCACACTCTATGGAGGCCCAGGAGACAGCTACTTGATGATGCTCAAGTATGAGGATGAGGGCGAGTCTTAAACTTACTTAAATGTGACTCTAACATCGTTCCTGAGGCACAGCAGGCTGAATGGCTTTACTCATGTCAGATCAGGGAAAACAAGGACCCACATACACATATTCACAAACTAAATTAAAAAATACATGCATTCATTCCATCCTATAACATATTCATGAAGCACCAACTATGTGTCAGGTACTCTTTTTTACCTTTAAGGTGTTTTCCAGGTGAGTCAGGGAATCAGACCAAAACTAGCCAGTGAGATATAGTGAAGGAATGAAAGAAAACCACACATGCTTCCAGAGTGTGGGGGGAAAGGACATAACCTGAAGCAGGTTAGGGAACACTCCCAGAGAAGATGCTTGGTATAGCGGTGTCTTGAGACACGCAGTAATTAGCAAAAAAGGTAATCCAGGGACAAATACAAGACAGAGGATTGCACTTCTGAAGAACCACAAGTAGTCTTGGGTAGCTGTATCAGAATACGAGATGGAAAGGAGAGAGGCATAAATGCAAGAGACGTGGTCAAGGAAGGTGGGCAGTAGGGATGTTATAAAAGGCCTTGAATGTCACTGAGGGGTTCTGAGCACTGAAGTGAGAAGCAGAGCTGAAGTGTGGAAAGAAGTGTGAGGAGTGAACTGAAGCGGGCAGGACTGGAGACAGGAGATGAGCTACCAGGCTGTGGTGCTAACCCATGTGTGCATTCAAGGAATATTGAGCAAAATGGAAAAGATGCAATGGAGATGATCTAACTTCCACTTGACAGTTCTGCAAACCAAACCACTGAAACGCACAAAGGTCCTCGAAAAAGGGTGGACTGCATTTCGGAATAACAGACTGCAGAGTTTATGTGGGGAGCTCTGAACCTCAACTTCTAGTTTCATTTGAATTTTACAATCACCCCTTTCACACTCAGAGAATAAATGAGAGGATACAGCTCAGCTCGGTTTAGCACACGTCCTCTTCTCTCTCACTGCTGAAGGCTGGATGCCATGTGGAGTATCCTGTAGGTGCCATTAGAAACTACCCCGGGTTGAAGAGCAAAGCCATCGACTTGCTTTCTGGCTAACCTGTGAAACCAGGCTCGTCTGTTTTCCGGAAAGGCCTGGTGGGGAGCTTGCAGAATGAACATTCTGGGGACCTTTTGGTCCCCACTCTGCTTTGAGCTCTCTTTGTATCCTGCTTGCCAAAGAGGAAGAGATGGGTCCCAAGGCATTGGCAGAGGATGGAGATTTCTCATTAGCCATGCTCAGTTCAGCTCCAGCTTCTAGAGGCTGCTGAGTTCTGCACTGGATGGGGTCAAGCTAGATTTGATCTTGTGCCCCTCGACATTGCCTTAGAAAATGGACCATATCTGAGTCAAACGGGTATTTTACTTTCCCTTTAGAAACTCTCTTTGAACTTAATAATAAAGCTACCCAATGCCCTCTCAGTTCAACCACCACGCCCCATGCGTCATCCCCGCATCACATACACACACCCACAGGTAGGTACACCCTCTGCTCCCCTCTGGAAGCATGTCTTAATTAATATTTCCCAAATCTAATTGCTCCAAGTTACTTGAAGTTCTTCCCTAGTACTTCAGTATCCTGTTAATTATGTTGTATTTAAATCCCCTTTATTGCTTTATACATGTTAAGGTTTACACACACACACCCCCTCCTCTACCAGACCACATGGTCTTTCATGTTTTCTCTATTTTATCCCCACCCCACTGCTCACGGTGGTGCCTACTTCAGAGTTCTGCTTCTACAAAGAATACTCCTCATTTAATGGGGGCCCTCTGAGATGCTGGGCGCTGACATTCATTCATGAACATTCTAACAATAACACTTCACATTTAGGCAGAAGCTTTATCTGCATTCTTTCTCTCGAGCCCTTTCTTCCAATGGAAGTAGGTCAGCCCTACCTGCAGCACAGAGAAAACCTAACTGGACCACAGACGAGTCAATGGCTTTCAACAGCTTCCTCAGCATCACAGAGCAACCAGCAAAGGACATGAGAAACACAGTCGGGTCTCTTTTCTCCCAAGATATCCTTGCATCATCTTGTTTGCCTATATTTTCTACTGTATTAACTCTGCTGGACTCATTTTTCCCCCTTTATTCCTAAATGTCCACAGTATCACTGAGTAACAGGGAGGAAGATCTTTATTATTTTGTCCTACCTTTTGTGGATTTGCAAATTTTTAATATAAGAATTTTCAAGTTAAGAATGCATCATTACATTAATTTTTTTTTTTTTTTTTTTTCCCAGTA